GCGGTGGTGGGCGCAGCGACGCTACCTCTCCCTGGCGCTCCACAGCAGCGGGCGAATCTGCCCGTAAACTATGGATCTGCAGACCACATGGGTCTGGAGTTACCGGGCCTTGTGGCACCTTGGCTGCTACGGCCTGGGCCTTGTGTGATATTCCATGTGCATGTTTCAGCGGGAGCCAGCGCTTGGTATGTCTTGCATGCCAAAATTTGCATTGGAACTTGTGGTTGGTTTTCCATGTCTTGCGTCGTTAAGGTGCGGGTAATGCTTTGCATGTGGGAGGCCACGACAGAGATTGAACAGAACTTTGTGCCACTGTCCAGCATCTGGCAGCTTCATTGAAGAATAATACCAGTGAGCAGACAGTACGCGAAGACTTCAAAGTTTACCTCGATGGGCCTGATCCTGAAGTGGCTCTGGCTCCTTTCCAGAAGGCACCTCAAAACGCAAATCCCAGCAGCCTTTGGGTGAAGAGGGTTCAGCAGCACTGGATGTCTTTTTGTATGGATCGGCTAAAAACCGTTGCAAGGCAGATCTGCCACGGCGCACTTCGCAGAAGAGACCCAAGAAAGGCATGCCAGCGCTTTTGGAGAACCGCAATGACAACCGGGCAGCAATTGCCAGTGACACTCGACCTTTTGGTTTGAGTCCTGAGACCTTAACAGCTTTCCAAGCCCTGACGGAAGAGGCAAAGAACACGCAAGTGGCCAGTGCCCAGCATTCTCTTTTGTCCAGCTGGTCAGGCCACCAGGAAGAGAAAGTTGGTGGAAGCCATGGCTTGTGGTGCAGACCATGCAAGAAAATGGAGGACCGCAAGAAGGAGAGAGAAAACATGCAAATGACAGTTCTTTCTTGCAGAGATTCTCTGCGCGCCAAGAGGGACGAACTGCCGCAGCCTAAGTTTGTAGGATAGGTTTCGGGTGCCTTCTCTACCTAGCGACTGCGGCCGAGGACAAAGAAGAGGGCATGGTTGGTTGCGTCCGCAGAAGCGGTGGCCAAGAAGAAGGACCAATCTCAGGTAAAATCTCCCGCAAGGGAGGCGTGCCTGTGACCTTGCGCGAGGTCATTTCTTTGATCACAGAGTGCCCACATTGGTTCTTGCGCAAGCAAATTAACATGTTCAGCTCCATGCCACATGCTGCGCTCCTTTGGCCTGTTTCTGCAGGTGGCAGGGTGAGTGATGGCTTCAGACCAACCTGCTGATTAGTTGGCGGCTCAGAATGCGCATATTTTTGCAAGGTCGGCCGCGCTTGTCATGAGGCCTGGGCGTTCACCTACATGTGGCCAGATTTGGGGTGTGGGCTTTGGGCACGTTTGTGTGCATGTGCTTGGCGTGTGGACTTCGTTGAGCTGAAAATATGTTTGTTCGCCTGCGCATGGTTCGCAATTAGTGCCTTGCAAAGTTCAGCTTGAAAAGATCCCATATGGTGATTTACTGATTGGATGCTTGCTGTTGTTTCGGGGGGTGCTCGGCCGCTGGAACCGGTATTACCTGATTAGCTTCTCGCTGCCTGATGGCGCACAGTGCCAGTGCTGCGCTGCTGCAACGGCTGTGGCTACGGAGAACAACGTTTCAGCGAGCAACTTTGATGGTCGATAGTGATTTGGTGTGCAAGTCCCAATGTTCATTTCGATTGTCGATTAGTGCTCAACTTCGGCGGCAGCTTGCAACTTAGGTAACCGGATCAAATTGAGAGATGTTGATGTTCCCAAAGTGGTGTCTGGGGTTATTGAGCCTCAGCAGGCCCTGTAAGTTTTGTGTCTTCGCCAGGGTCAAGATCTGACAGTTGTTTTTGATCGCCCTGCCAAGCTGCTGTGGGAGGTGAAGCAACAGTGTGGCAGCCAATAAAAGAAAATCCACCTTGGACTTCGCGTGCCGGTGGTCAAGGGCCGGACATGCTTCAAGATCAGTGAATCACTGCCGAACCTCCAAAAGGCTTTGGTTCGGTTCTTTGCGCTGCCCACCAAGCCCTCGGTGGCCTCCCTGTGCTGTTGCAAAAAATGTTCTCATTTTGTGAAACGGTTTGCCTCTGCAAAGGGGGCCGTGTCCAGCTTCACAATTTACTCGACCCTGTGGCGGCGAGAAGAGTGTTATGGTGTCAGGCCTGCCCTGCGTTGAAGTTCTTGTATTCCTCATCTTCGGGACACTGACAGGTGCCAAAACTGATTTGGCCAGCGCGAACACTATTGAAAATTGAAACTCTACATAAAACCAAGGGGGTTCCAATGAAAGAAAGGAACAGAAGAGAAAACACACACACAAGAAGAAAGCAAGAAAGAAATGCGCCGGCAATCGTCAGCATCACCAACCACCACAAAGCAGCAGCAACAACAAACAGTAGCTCCTGAACGCTGAGATTGTAAGCGTTCATCATCAGACCGGGTGTCTCACCTGTGCAAACAGTTCAGGCTTTGGGACAATGTGAGAGAGCCTATTGCGTTGGGCAGGTGACACGTCAGTGGAAACAAACAGCAAATCAAAGACAAGGGGTGGGGAGGGTGAGCCCATAGATAATGCGCAAGAACGGACCCCACGAAGTCTTCCCAAAGCCATTCCCTCACCCCATGTTTTGTTGGACTTCGTGGGGCCCGTGTGCACACAGGCAGGTCCAGCAAGGAATTGCGAACGTCCCCAGACACACCGGGCTAAGTAAGTCCACCGTTGATTGCGGCCCGTTTTTTACAACCGCAATTGCTCCACATGTTTGTGGCGCAGCGCGGCTCCTGGCCGCAGGTGATTGAACTTGATGCGCGTCATCCTGTTGCTTTCCCGGTGTCGCAGAAGCCGGCGGTGTGGGTGATGGCTCGTTGTGACGCTGCCCCAGATGTTGTGATTCCGGACGATGCTGGGAAGAAGCTGAGCTCTGTTGGTGGGTACATGGTGAAGAGGACTGAAGGCCTTTTCACGCTGCCCGCTGAAACTTCACATAAGTACATAGAGTCGGCCGCCAAGATGAAGATCGCTGCCAGCCTTGTCCGGAAAGGGCACAAGAAGGTTGTCAAGAAGACCCCAAAGATTTGTGCGGATTATTGCTAGAAAGAGGCCGGGTGTGATTCACTGCTCAGAGTTTCATTGAGTTTGGTTCATGAGTTTGGTTCACTGCTCAGATCCCACCGACGAAGCGGCAGAAGGTTTCCAGCTGAGCATCTCTACGCGGGAAGCGCCAGAATTTTGGAGCAATTGAGAAGGAAGTTGTGAGCAATGGTGCTTGTGCATTTTGCAACCGACAGGGCTTTCACACTTATGAAATATTTTCCATGCTTCCATGATATTGCATCAAGCTCCTTTGACGATGAGTTTTCCCTCATTGCCAAGCATGTGCATTACAGCTCTAGGGAACCTTTGTAGCCATTCCCAAAAGCGCCTGACTGCCAGGTGCTTGCGGCTGCAGGGGACAGTCCGATGGTTGGATCCGCAGTACAGACAACGTGTGACGCAAGTGCGGATTGTTTTATAGCTCGGTTCTCATTGCTTGATTTCAACCACAAACTCTGAGGATGTGGGATTCACAAGCTACACAGACCTCCCCCCACCTTCAACACGTTCTTGGCCACACCGTTTTGCCCTTGACTTCAAGCATTAAATTACGCAAAGGCTGTATCTGTTTCATCCTTCTTCTCTTGGTGCGTTGATGCGCTGTGTGCCAAGGCCACGTGAGAGCTGGGACTTGCGTGTGCCAAGGCCCGTGAGGAATTGAATAGAGAGCTCCATGGAGATTCGAGCAAGTCTATATAGGCAGTGAACCTTCCACTTGCGATTTAGTGGAAGATGGGTAAACCCATATAAGGCGCGATAAGTGCGATAGGCGCCTGATTGAGGGTGGTTGTAGTCCACAAATTGCCTTTTGACAGCCTTGCTGTGCCAGGAGATTCTTGTGAGGGCGGCTACGTGAAAGCCCAGCATGCGGAAAACGAAAAAAGATCTTTTTCTGTAAGCCCGGGATCTAAGGGAAGGTGCCAGTCCAACAGCGCATACCTTTTCAATTTTTCTGAACCACCCGAAGGTAATGTTTAGGGGCGGAAGGTGCTATGCCAACGGTGCTTCCCTGTTTGTGAGCCACCGGAGGGTAATATTTAGAGGGGGAAGGTGCCATTCCAACGGTACATGCATTTTGTTAACAACCCAAGGGTAAAATTTAGGAAAGCCGAAGAAGTCCTAAGAGACTCGAAGCCGGCAGACAACCGCAAAAAAGTCTCTATAGTAGTTCCTCTCTTTACTTTCCTCACTGCTCCTTCTCCTTCGTTTTTTTTAATGTTTCTCTTTCTCTTTCGCTCTCGCTCTGGCTCTCGCTGTCTCTTTCTCTTTCTTCTTCTCTTTCTCTTTCTCTTTCTCTTTCTCTTTCTCTCTCTCTCTCTCTCTCTGTCTTTCCTTTTTTTCTTTTCCTTTCTTTTCGCGGTACATATTATAAGTATCATATATATTGGAGCTTCAAGTGACTTGACAAAACATATACCTGACATATGAAAAGCCGAAGAACGGATGCCTTTTCTGCTCCCTCCCTTTGTCACTGTCTCTCGTCCCGCTGGCTTTGCTGCTTGCGAAGCACTCCCAGAAGAAAAAACGCGAAAAAAGATACCAGACAAAAAATTTTGAAAAACATATCAATCCTTTTTGCATCCCAGTCTAAGTCTACAAGTCAGATGCGTGCAGAGTCACGTGTTTCTATGGAGTTCTCTGTTTTTTTGGCCGGCCACATCTGAGTCACACAGGTTGACTGAGGGAGGATGAAGGAAGCGGTGGGGAATTCGACCGTTTCTCCTTGGGCCTCAGCGACTGTGTGTATTGACACCTGCAAGTTTCAACCTGGAAGATATTTAACCAGTGGGAACTCTCCCAGTCAGTGGATAACCGGATAACCTTTAACCTTTTTGGGAATTGGTTTCCCCACAGGGCAGGGGCTAACCATTATTTTCCAGTAAATTGAAGAGGTCAGACTCGACAGGGTGGTTGGACATGTCTCAATGTAGAGGTTCCACCTTCCGCACATCGATCTACCGAACTCAGGGTGATGGCGTGATGGTTAGGAAGGTGGAAATGAATGTTGACCATGGTGTGACACAGGTGATGATGGTCTTAAAGACCTTTTCTCGAATCTGATTCATTCTTGTGTTGTTTGAACCTCCCCAGCAGTCTCCCAAAGTGGTGTTGACCTCCTTCCCTTCGCAGTGCCTCTTTCTTCGTGGGGCTCCGATCGTGATGTGAGGATTTGGAACAAGATGGACACCACTGGGTTAGGGCAGCAGCTTTGGCCAGAGATGTGCAAACGGACCGCGGATGCGTGCTACACCTTTTCGGGGACAACGGAACCGTGCCACCCGGGTTCAGTGGAACCGTGAGAAGTCTGGCTCGGCTTTCGGGGGGCCGTGTTTCTGTAACATCTTAGGGAAGGATCACGGGTGAATTCTCGAAGTCAGATTTCTGCATGCGAAACTATACATTCTTGGATTTGATCTCCGTTTTTGGGATGCCGACTCGCCACTACACTACGCCACTACACTGCACTTGTTCATTGTTTTTGGTTCCAAGCGAGATCACTGACAGGGCAATGCGGCATTGCGTGGGTGTTTGGCAGTTGCTGGTGTTGAAAGCTGCTCAGCACCACGTGTCACTCTGTTCGACACTGCATACCACGAGTTCCATGTCGCAAGTTGTTAGACCTCAAGCGGTGTCGTTTCACTGGGCAGCGTTGCAGGAACCAACCAACCCCAATTCTGGCAATTCCTGGGCAGTCGAAGGGGACCTATAGTACTATAGTGAGTGGGTCCACATTCGCTTCTTTTTTCGAACCCTGAAAAGAGAGAGGAAGTGGGAGAACCGTGTCATGAAACGACATCGTGGGAGTTGCAGAGGTGGTAGAACTATCTCTGAAGTCCAGCTACTAGTAGCTTCTTGTTACTAGCAATGGCCTCCAACCTACTTGCGATGGCCTGCACCTAATAGCATCCTTGCTCCTAGTAGCGATGCCCTTTGTTACTTCCAAAGTCTGAAGATGCAGTGACCTTCAAGACACCATCCAGAATCTCACATG